CACTCAACTCTGGTTCAAAAACACCGGTCTTCTGTTTAATCCAGGTTAACATAAGCTAGGATGCTGGTGCTAATCCTTGCTTAGGAGAGAGCATTCCTAGCCGCCTCTCTCCGGGACAATCCAGGAGCCGAGTTCTCCATCAGCCTAACTTCATCCTGTCTGGGAGCAGCCCCAATGGATGGAAACCAATCAAGGAGAGAACCAACCTTGAATGGAATAACCGATTTGGAAGGGACCTTGGAGGTCTTCTAGTCTAACCCCATGCTCAAGTATGAAACCCTGTACAATTTCCAACCAATGTTCGCCCAGTCTCTTCTTAAAATCTTCCAGTGTTGGAGCATCCACAACTTCTGAAAGGAAGTTGTTCTACTGGCTAATTGTTCTCATCGTCAGGAAATTCCTCCTTAGTTCCAGGTTGCTTCTCACCCCCCCCCCGTCCCCCCGAAACGGAGCTGAAAAGCAGGTTAGGAATATGGCTGCCTTGGAGGGTGTGGGGGTATGTGAGACACCTCTGTGTGTGTGTGTGTGTGTGTGTGTATGTCTAAGGGAGAGAGAGAGAGCACTGCCAGCGAGGTTAGATCGGATCTCTCTCTCCCACCAAACGTCAGCAAGCCACCGTCACGCAAAATTCATATTAGTGGTCCGCGGGATTTAAAATTATGAGTTTGGTGGCCCCTGAAGTCCAAAAGGTTGCCAGCCCCTTGCCCTATACCATTCTAGACAAGGGGCTGCCCAGTCTCTTCTTAAAAAAAACCTCCAGGGATGAAGCACCCACAATTTCTTGTGGCAGGCTGTTCCACTGGTTAATTGTCCTCACTTGTCAGGAAGTTTCTCCCCTTAATTCCAGGTTACTTCTCTCCTAGATTAGTTTACATCCGTTGCTTCTTGTCCTGCCTTCAGGGGCTTTGGAGAATAGCTTGACTCCCCTCTTCTTTGGGGCAGCCCCTCAAATACTGGAATATTGCTACCGTGTCCCCCCCCCCCACAAGTCCTTATTTTTGTTAAACTATCCAAAACGAATTCCTGCAACTCTTCATATGTTTTAGCCTCCAGTCCCTTAATCATCTTTGTCGATTTTCTCGGCACTCTTTCTAGAGTGAGGGCGAACCTATGGCACGCGTGCCGCCGATGGCACACAGAGCCGTTTATGCTGGCATGTAAGCCGCACGCAAACTTACCTCACTGCACCTGCACGTACCTCACTGCTGATTTTTGGCCTGTTTGAGGCCTTTTTTGGCCTCCCAGAGGCTTGAGGAAAGTCTGCAGCAGGCCGAAAAATAGGCCCATTTCATCATTTCCTGTATTTCCAGAAATACCGGAAGTGACAAAACGGGCCCGTTTTTCGGCCTGCAAAGCCTGCAGAAGCTTTCCTGAAGCCTCTAGGAGGGCGAAAAAGGCCTCAAACAGGCCGAAAATCAGCTGGGAAGTGCAGTGTAGGTAAGGGGGGGAGGGTTGCGTGCGCCTTGCCTTCTGGGTGCTGGCACGTGAGTGCACAATTTTTGGCACAGGAGCCCCCAAAAGTTAGCCAGCCCTGTTCTATATTCTATCCTAAAATAGAATTCTATTTTTTTATATCGTTCTATGTAATATTGTACACCTAGGAATTTCCTAACAGAACAATTCATCAGTGGGGTGACTTGCCTTCCGAAGTTGCAGGAGCTCTCCAACACTGGAAGTTTTTCAGGAGAGACTGGACAGCCATAGGTCCTGAATGGTATAAAGTTTCCTGGGGTTGGACTAGAAGATCTCCAGGGTCCCTTCCGATTCAGTGAAAAGGTGAAGCCTCTACAATAGGAAACTTTCCTGCCCCAGAATCTTATCAGTTTACAAGGTCTTTCCTAAAGAACTGAAATGGGATGGAGAGGAAAGAGAGAGGGAGAGAGAATTTGGGGAGGGGGATAAGCAGAGAAATTTCTGATAGGGGCCAAAGAGGAGCAGAAGTGAAGTGGGATATAAAGTCAGCAAAGATTGAAGAAGGATCTTCTGCACTTGTGTTTGGCCAAATGGCACTTCTGATGACTTCTGGCAGGGCAAACACAACCCCAGGCTTGGGGGGGGGGGGTCCCCAGATAGGAAAATCTGGGGGAACCCCCCCCCACTTGTCACTGATACACCCTGGAGATTTGAGCGTAATAAATCCTAGTTGCTGGTGGGCGCAGAAAATCAGGATTAATTGGGATTACTTGAAAGCAAGAGGCCTCGTTTCAAATGACACATCTCCCGAGAAGTGACCTCTGCCGTCTTCCAGAATGGTCTCGTCAGCCACCGACTTGCTTTACGTCCGCCATTTTGCAAACCATTTGTCCCGAGGACAGCCGGTCCCAGGTGCTCTTTAAGCCAGCTGTGTCGGCAGTCAAGTTGGCACACCAACAACCCATCCTCAGTGCCTCGGGTTTGGATTGGAAGCAACCTCCTCAAAGACCCCCCCAGAATCTTCTCCTAGCGCTCTGGGGTGAGGCTGCACAGTCTCTCCTGCCACGTAGGTGTTTTTTTTACGTCTGCCACTTTGCAAACCATTTGTCCCCAAGGACAGCCGGGCGTTCTTTAAAGCAGCCGTGTCAGCAGCCAACTTTGCAAACCGGCAACCCACCATAGAATCTCCCCTATCCCCCGTGGGGCGGTGAGGCTGCACAGTCTCCGCTGCCATGGACTTGTTTTACATCTGCCACTTTGCAAACCGCTGGTCCTTAGGGACAGCTGGGCGCTCTTTAAAGCAGCCATGTCAGCAGCCAACTTTGCAAACCGGCAACCCACCCTAGAATCTCCCCTATCCCCCGTGGGGCGGTGAGGCTACATGGTCTCCGCTGCCATGGACTTGCTTTACATCTGCCACTTTGCAAACGGCTGGTCCTTAGGGACATCCGGGCGCTCTTTAAAGCAGCCGTGTCAGCAGCCAGATTTGCAAACCGGCAATCCAGGCCAGAATCTCTCCTATTTCTGTGGGGTGAGACGGCACGATCTCACCTACAGACGTGCTTTACGTTTGTCCCAAGGACAGCCGGTCCCAGGCGCTCTTTAAAGCAGCCGTGTCACAGCCAAATTTGCAAACCAACAACTCATCCACACCACCTCGGGTTTGGATTGGAAGCAGCCCCCTCAAAGACCCCTGAATCTTCCTCATCCCTCTGGGGTGAGTCCCCCCTGGTATGAGTCCCGCTCATCCCACTGGGGGCGTGCAACGGAGAGCGCCAAATTTGAAAATGGGCAAAAAGGTTGAGAGCGCCAACTTCCACAGCTGGGCAGAGGTGGCCACTGCACATCTGTTGAACTACTAGGCCGTCTCGGCGGAATGGGAATTTTGTTGGGGAAAATGTTTTTTTGGTATGCTAAACCAGCCTCGTGTGTGATGTATTTGTGGATGTGCGTGTGCGTGTGTGTGGGTGCATTTGTTAGGCTATCCAAAGCTCTGCCAGGAAATGCCACGTAAGACTATATTTGGATGAAGGAGATGAAAAAAAAATCTATATATTTTTAAATACAGAACCGAACGGCTGTGTGCACTCCCTTGGGAGTTGAATTCCCATTGTCCTGTAACCTTTGTCTGTTTGGTGACTGTAATAAAAAAAATTGTTTGGGTCACTGGAGGACTCTATTTTTATGGGCAGCCAGAAAGGAGACACTTTCTAGAAATCAAAAATGAAATACAGATAATTCACGTCACTTAGCGACGATTCGAAGCTACAACAACACTGAATAAAGTGACTTATGGCCATTTTTCATACATATGACCACTGCAGTGGCCCTATGGTCACATGATCAAAATTTCAGACAATGTTGGCAACTGACTCGTCCTTATGACGGTTGCAGGGTTAAGCGTTCCTCTTTTTTGACCTCCTGACCAGCAAAGTCAATGGGGAAGCCAGCTTCACTTAACGTCCATGTTGCTAACTTCACAACTGCAGCGATTCACTGAACGAATGTGGCAAGAGAGGTCGTAAAATGGGGCAAAATTCAACTGTCTCGCTTAGCAGCAGAAACGTTGGGCTCCCTTGCGGCTGTAAGTTGAGGGCTTACCTCTAGGATGCAGAATGCAGAATAAACAAGAGTTGGAAGGGACCTTGGAGGTCTTCTAGTCCAACCCCCACGCTCGAGCGTGAGAGCCTGTGGCAGGGATGTCCAATCTTGGCCGCTGGAAGACTTGTGGACTTCAACTCCCACAATTCCCCAGCCAGGAATTCTGGGAGCTGAAGTCCATTCCCACTTAAAACAGATTGGCTGGAGAATTCTGGGAATTGAAGTCCACACATCTTAAAGTGGCCAACTTTAAGAAACAGGGCTAAACCCGGGGGCGGCGGGGGCTTCCAAAATTTTAGCAACCGGTTCTCTGCCTGGTGGATGGGTGGGCGTGGCCATGGTGGGCGTGGCCTAGCCGGCCTTCTGCACCATGTGGTGGGGAGGCACTTTCATCCTCCCCAGGCTCCAAAGGCTTTCCTCGAAAAGGGCCTCCCCGGGCTCCGGAGGCCCTTTGGAGGCTGGAAATGGGCCTGTATCCGGCTTTACGGAGCCTCCCGTGTGGGCCCTGCACTTACCTGCCATCCAAAATGGGCCACCTGGGCTACTGAGAGGGATGGGGCGGGCAGGGCCGATCCGGGGGTGGAATTGACCAGTTCGCCAAAGCGGCAATTAAAAATGATAAAATTAGCAACCGGTTCATGCGAACCGGGGCGAACCGGTAGTAACCCACCCGCTGGCTAAACCATGTTGAGTTTTGTTCCAGCAGTAGCCACTGGGGGGGGAAAAAAAAATATGGAATTTTCTCCAAAATTATATCTGAGCTGTAACATTGACTTCTTCTTTTTCTACTGCCGAAAGCAATAGCCAAGACTGAAACACTTTTTCAGCGATTAGTGGTAAGGTGAATTACTGAGGACTAGAAACTTGAAGGCACATCGAAAAGATTAAAGCAATATATTTGTCCGTATATTTCCCCCACCCCCCCCACCCCCTCTTCTTGCGAGAATAATTCCAGGGAAATTCCAAGCCAGTCCCAGTCAGTCATTGTGCAGCTCACGTCGGAGGTAAAAAACGAAGGGAGCGAAAAATTTATATATCGGGGACTGAATGATCCATCGACGACTTCACTAGTCCGCTTGAAAGCCTTCAAAAGAGAAGCAAAGAGACAAAAAAAAAATTTTTTTTTAAATAGAGGTAGTCCTCGACTTACAACAGTTCATTTAGTGACCTTTCAAAGTCACAATGGCTGTGATGACCCAAAGGGGCGTGGCACAAAGACAACACAGCCAAATAAGCAAGAAAAGTCCCTTTATTATCTCCAACTTGGCCCCCGATGTCCAGGTTACCTTCAGCTGGAGAAAAACTGTCCCAGGAACAGCCTTCAGTCCGAAAACAAGGTACGTACAAAAGGTAACTAAAAATCCAAATAAACCATGCTGCAGTAATTAACTTGACAGGGCAGGAGAAGGAATTGCAGACTTGAAAGGCCAAAAAAAAACTCACACAGTTGGGAAGATCCCAGGAGCACAGATATAAGCCTCGAGGATACCAGATAATTCACGATTTGCTCCTAATAGTTTGCTGTGGGCAGCTTCCCTTTTCAAACACTGTGTTCCCAGCTGTGGCTAATGAAGGGAATCAGGGCCCTTTCCTCCCCCGTAAGCCAGGCAACTCACGTTGCTCCCTTCTCTGTTCCTTCCTCCCTGTGTGCCCTAAGATGAAGAGAGGGTGGGCCTGGGTCTTCCTCTGAACTTCCTCTCCCTTGTTCTACCTCTCCCCTCTGCTCTACCCAGCCAGACTTTGCCCTTCCCCAGTTTCCTCTACAGCCAATGGAGCCACACTCCCACTCCCTGTCAGCTGCTCGGTCGCCCCCTCTGAATCAGATTCCGACAGGGATATGACGACGACACTGGAAAAACGGACTGATGTGCATTTTTCACGCCTAACAACTGCTGCAGCCCATTGCAGTGGTTCAGGTGATCAAAATTCAGACGCTCGGCAAGTGACTCGTATTTACAACAGTTACAGGGTCCCCTTTTGTGACCTTCTCACAAGCAAAGTCAGTGGGGAAGCCCATTTCACTTAACGGCCACTGTTGCAAACATAACAACGAAAGTGATTCGCTTAACAACTGCGGCACAAAAGTGTTGTAAAATGGGGTGGGGGGGGAATCACTTAAGAAATGTCTCACTTCGCAACCAAAAATTTGGGTTCAATTGTGGTCGTAAGTCGAGGATTCCCTGTATCTACTGGGGTTGCTTTAAAAACAGCATAACAACTGCTTTTTCCTCTTCCAGTAATACAGGTCAGTCCTTGACTTATGATCATAATTGAGCCCAAAATTTCAGTTGTTAAGCAAGACAAGTTGTTAAGTGAGTTGCGCCCTCTTTGACATCCTTTTTTTGCCACAGTTGTTAAGCAAATCACTTTCATTGTTAAATGAATCGTGGGGTGGTTAAGCAAATCTTGCTCCCCTCATTGACTTTCTTTGTCAGAAGAAACTAACTTATGACCGGTTTTTCACACTTACGACCACTGCAGCATCCCTAGTGTCACATGATCAAAATTCAGACACTTGGCAACTGACTCGCACTTACGACGGTCACGGGGTCACGTAATCCCCTTTTGCGAGCTTCTGGTGAGCCAGATCCATGGGGGAGCCACATTCCCCGCATGACCGAGTTGCTAACTTATCAACAACAGTGATTCGCTTAACAACGGTGGCAAAAACAGTCGTAAAAGGGAGGGGAAATTCACTTAACCAATGTCTCGCTTGACAACAGAGATTTTGGGCTCAATGGTGGTCGTAAGTCTTATATACTACCTGGATGTACACACAGGGCTGATCAGCCAGTCTGGTACCTTTTTTAAAAAAAATTTATTTGGGTTTTCACAAAAACAAAATACAAATAAAACATCTTTTTTTGAAAATAGCATGGTTCCCAGGTTATCACTTCTTCATACAGACACAAAACTCAATTTCGTGCTCATTTTTATATTCTATTCCATATCTTATTACCATTTTGTATTTTCTACATACCGTGTTTCTCATATAATAAGGCTGGGTCTTATTTTTTTTTTTGAGCCCCGAAAAAATGGCTGGGCCCTCTTTTCGGAGGTGACTTAATTCCGCCCCCCCTTGCATCTTGGGGCAGGCAGCGACGGCTTGGATGTTGACCTCGACGTTGGTGGGGCACTTCGTATCGGGGTCAATACAGGCAGCACCATATCCGGGGGTGCAACGAAAGTACTTCCTAACGGCAAGCCCCCCCGCCATTCCCCCCCACTTCTCCCCCCCCATGACTTTTTCTGTTGTCCTCCTTGGGCAATTAAACTTTGGATATTTGCTGCTGCTTAAGGAGTAAACTTAACAGGTAACAGATAATCAGAGTTGGAAGGGACCTTGTAGGTCATCTAGTCCAACCCCCCGCCCAAGCAGGAGACCCTACACCATTTCTGACAGATGGGCAGTCCAGTCTCTTCTTGAAAGTTTCCAGGGATGAAGCTCCCACAACTTCTGAAAGCAATCTATTACACTGATTAATTTTTCACACTGTCTGTAAATTCCTCCTTATTTCCAGATTAAATCTCTCCTTGATCAGCTTCCATCCATTATTCCTTGTCTGGCCTTCAAAGGCGCTTTAGAAAATAGCTTGACCCTCTTCCTCCTCCTCTCTGGGGCAGCCCCTCAAATATTGGAAGGCTGCTCTCCTGTCTCCCCTGGTCCTTCACTTCCCTAGACTAGCCAGGCCCAGTTCCTGCAACCGTTTGTCGTATGTTTTAGCCTCCAGTCTCCTCATCATCCTGGTTGCTCTTCTCTGTACTTTTTCTAGAGTCTCAACATCTTTCTTTTATAGTGTGGTGACCAAAACTGGATGCAGGACTCTAGGTGTGGTCTTACTAAGGCTTTATAGAGGGGTGTTAGTACCTCCCTTGATCTCGATTGTATCCCTCTGTTAATGCAATTTAGGATTGAATTAACTTCAGCTTGAGTTCTTGACATTGGAAGCTTGCTCTGATCTGGATCTAGGCACCGACTGGGAGGGCGCAGGGTGCAAGTGAAACTAGAATTCCCCATTGTAATTTCCCTGTATCCCACCCCCCCAAGACTCGCTCGTTCAGACCTCAGAGACCTACTTTTTAATCATGTGCTCGTAGATCACAGCCGGGACGATGGTGAGAGTGATGATCTTCCCAGCGTTGGCGAGGATTTCGGTGATCTCCTTGTCCTTGAGAAAGGAGAGGTTACAATCAGGTTACAAAGCATTGCAAAGAGGGAGCAGAGCAGCTTTGGGAGGAGTCCCTGGGGCTCTCTAAGCTGGGTTGTTTTCCTGCAGATGTTTCGTGATCCGACTAAGCAACATCATCAGTGCAAGAAGGGAGTGTGGAGAGGAGGAGGAGGAGGAGGAGGAGGAGGAGGAGGAGGAGGAGAAGAACTGTGTGCTCCTTGGTACTCTCTGAGTTTGGGTGTTTGGAGACGTTTTATGACCTAACTAGGTAACATCACCCATGGTAGAAGGGCGCAGGGTTTGCAGATAGGAGGAGGAGGTGGCGGAAGAGGAGGAATGACGGGTCCTTGATTGTTTTCCTGCAGACATTTCATGACCCAACTAGGGAACAGCACCAGTGCTGTACAAAGGAGCAAAATTTGCTCTCTGTTTATACAATGGGAGCATGCCCCCTTCTCTTCCAGCCCAGATGATGTCAGCTAGTTGGGTCATGAAACGTCTGCAGGAAAACCACCAAGCTCAGTCAGCACCAAGTACAGTTCACGGTTCAACCCAGACCTACAAATATTCTCCTTTATTGATGAGTGAGATTTTTGCCCCATGAAGAATTTCTGCAGAGTTGCACAAGGGAGATTCTTGCTCACATGCAAACACACACACACAGACACACACACGGAGACACACACACAGAGACACAAACACTTTAACTGCAGTTTAACTGCACACATATCTCCCTATGTGTCCTTCTGACAAGCAAAGTCCACGGGGAAGCCGGATTCGCTTCACAACCATGTAACTAATTTAACAATGGCAGCGATTAACTTAAGGATCTGTGGCAAGGAAGTTCGTAAAAATGGAGCAAAACTCATTTAACGAATGTCTCACTTTGCAACAGAAATGTGGTCGTTAAGTAGAGGACTATCTGTAGTCAGTAAAAGGGCTACAAATGCCTAGGGATTTTTTTTTTTAATCCTCTAAGAACATATTTATAGGGTTTATATAGGTTTAGGTTCCTGCCTGAGCAGGGGGGGTTGGACTAGAAGACCTCCAAGGTCCCTTCCAACTCAGTTATTCTATTCTAACATGCAGCAAAATTTCATTTTTGTCTTTATTTTTACCCCCTTTTTTTTTCTTATGGTCCAAAAGATTATAGACATTGACAGGAGCCATAAATAATTCAGGCATTTTTTAAAATATTTTATTGTTGCCGCTGTAAATTCAAGCGCTGTAGATAGAAATGCCCCCTCGGCGGGGCTGAAAATAAGACACAGCTGCACAGATCTGCCTCGCGGATTATAAAATGGGATACAAAATTCGCATACATGTGTACCCGTGGTGGGATTCTACCGGTTCGCCCCGGTTCGAGTGAACCGGTAGTAAAAAAAAAGAAATGCTACTGTTGAGCCAAACTGGTAGTAAAAAAAACAGCTACTGGTTGGGCGAACGGTTATTTTTTTCCCCCTCCCAACGATCAGCTGTTTGGATGATCCACTGTGCCGTGATGCCCCCTCACTGTTTAACTGCTTCACTCAGGAGGGTCCCCTGAAGTCGAGGAGGCCAAAAAACGGGGCACGTGGGGGGGTGCTGCACCAAAACAAACCACACCCACCCAGTCACATGGCCACACCCACCTAGCCACGCCCATCTAGTCATGCCCACAAAACCGGTAATAAAAATATTTGCATCCCACCCTTGACGGGTACACACGCGCACATCCTGTCAAGCCCGAAATTGAGATACGCGTAGCGATTTTAGTTAGGCTTTAGTTATATATTCTTTTCCTTACTTTCTCTGTGGCAGTCACAGGGGGAGGGGAAGGGTTTGAGGCTTGCCACATTCCTAAGGGGGGGGAGGAGTGGAGATAAAGAGAGTTGTTTTGGCTAGGTGGTTCTTCTTCCCGTGGGAAAATGAGCTGTCCGTGCTTGGGCCCCTTGAGGTGGAGCTTGATGACACCAAGCAACGTTGAATTACTTCTCTTGGAGACTGTGACTTTTGGGGGGTTGTTTCTAACTTGTAATATTGTGGGGTAATTCTGGGTTGTGTCAGATCTGGAATTACTATGGACTTTGCCAATTTGATGTTTTCCTAAATAAAAGAAAAAATTGTCTTGGAAGATGGAATTTGCTCTTTTCTTTTTGAATGGATTTTATCACTTGGAAACCTCAAACACACACACACACACACACACATGAGAATATGGAGGTTTTCAACACAACCTACTTGGTTTCTTCCTGACTGCATCACTTTGTGATGGATGATATTACCAGAAAGTCCTCAACTTATGCAACCATTCATTTACTGACTGCTCATATTTACTAGGGTACTTTCCACCAATCAAAATTTGTGCTCTCCGCAAACTGGCATCACTTTAACGACGGTCGCTGGGTTCCAAGGTCACGCAATCGCTATGGGCGACCTTCCCCCGCCGGCTTCCGACAAGCCGAGTCCGTGGGGGAAAGCTGGATTCCACTTAACGACCGTACGATTCGCTTAACAACTTCAGCAGTTCGCTTAACAATGGTGGCAATGAAGGTCGCCAATCGGGCGTGACTCGCCGAACAGTCATCTTGGTCTAGCGATGGGAATTCTGACCCCAGCTGCAGTCATAAGCCGAGGACTACCTGTATTCTAGACTATAAACCCAGGTGCATAAGGCAGCTTTTTTTAAAAAAAACAGCTAAGTTTCTAGTCCTGAAGACCTGGAACAGGCTGTCCACTCATAAAATATTTCTATGGTCTCTTTAGAGGGAGCAGGAAGCAGTGCGGCAGCTTGCAAACCAAAACTGCATTCCATAAATGTTTTGAAAGATAGTAACTAGGAGACTGAAGTTTCTGCTATGCAAAATTCTAACTGGAGAGCCTGATTGATGACTCTGGGCTATGGAGGTGTCCCATTGGAGAATAGGAATTAGGATACACCCAAGGGGTGGGGGGAAAACCAGGGTCAAGGGTGACAATGAATGATGTGCCTCAGAGTCGGCTACCCCCAGGCAGTGCCGGCATGTGAATTCCCAATAAATCCTTTTTAAGTTTTCGAAGTTTGGCTTGAGACTCGTGATTTTAATTGGGGGTGACTGCCGGAATCCTGACAGAGGCTTCAAGTCATCCAAGCTTTCTTCACCACCATAAAAGCATCGATGCTCACCTTCAGGCCAATGACGTTCTGTCCATTCACTTCGCAGATGTAATGCTTGGTGAGGAGCCCGTTCCGGGCCGCAGAGCTGTCTCTGGCCAGCGAGGTGATCTGGCCCCGCTTAATGACGAAACCCACATGGCCGCTGCTGTCTTTATGCATGGTCACCGTTCGCTGGAAAGGTCTAGCAAACACGGGTGTGGGGGGAAAACTGAGGTCAGGCTCTCTCCTGACTGTTGCCATTGAAATATTGGTTTTCCACAATCGACAGACAAGAACAAAGTTGGAAGGGACCTTGGAGGTCATCTAGCCCAGCTGGGGAAACCACTGGTTAGTCTGCGAGAAAATTTTGGTGGTCCGCAGAGAAATGTCACCCCCAAAGCAATTAATCCAGGCTGTGCGGGAACACAAGGCTTGCGTCGCTTGCGTTGCGAACAATACGAGGGAGTGAGAGGAGGGGGGAAAGGTGGAGGGGGGGAACTTGTCCCACACGCCCCACATGCCTGGCCTGGCCACCGGGCTGCTTCTTTCCGCTTCTTTCTTCTTTTGCTTCTGGCTGCACGCAAGGAAAGCAGCCAAAGTCTTTCTTTCTCTCCCCCAAACTCCACCAGAAATGAGTCTTTGGGACCCTGCAAGGCCTCCTGCGCCAAGAGGCTGCGCCGGCAAAGACTCATTTCTGGCCGAGTTTGGGGGAGAGAAAGAAAGACTTCTGCAGCATCTGCTGCTTTCCTTGCATGAAGCCCAAAGTCTCTCTGTCTTTCTCTCTCTCCCCCTGAGAACGGAGCTGGAGATGGTATCCTGTGATCCCAAATAAAGAATGATCGATCGGTAGGAAAACAGGGTGGGAAATTTTCCTGCAGACTTTTTTTGGGGGGGATTTTCCCAGGATCTCTGGTCCGCGGGATTTAAAATGATGGGTTTGGTGGTCCCTGAGGTCCAAAAGGTTAGTGACCCCTAGTCCAACCCTTTGCTCGGGCAGGAGACCCTCTATACCATTCTGGACAACTGATTGTCCAGTCTCTCCTTGAAAAAGCTGCAGTGTTGGAGCATCCACAACTTCTTGAGGCAAGTTGTTCCACTGATCAATCGTTCTCCTCGATAGGAAATTTCTCCTTACGATTTAATACCTTGTCCTGAATTCCAGGTTGCTTCTCTCCTTGATTAGTTTCTACCTGTTGCTTCTTGTTGCTTCAGGTGCTTTGGAGAATAACTTGACTTCCTCTTCTTTGGGGCAGCCCCTGAAATATTGGAAGACCCCTATCATGTCTCCCCTGGTCCTTCTTTTCATTCAGCTAGACCTACCCAATTCCTCCAAGGACTCACTGTATTCAGTGTGTAACAACAACCGTTGATTTCTGAGATGTTTGTTTTCCTGACTTCTGATGCTTTGGAGAATAGCTCGACTCCCAATATTTGGGGAAGCCCCTCAAATATTGGAAGGCCGCTATCCTGTCACCCCTGGTCCTTCTTTGGTTTTCTCAGTTCCTACAACCATTCCGCCATATTTTGAGAGGAATTGGCCAGACACGAAAACAAAAATGGGGAAGTTCTTAATATTATGGTCATCCTACAAGCCACCGGAATCCTTCTATGGGGTCATCAAGGTTTCCAGGTATAGTTATGTTCCGAGATTTAAGGGGCTTCCATAAAGAAAAGGAGAATAACTTATTCTCCAAAACACCTGAAGGCGGGACAAGAACCAAAGGGTGGAAATGAACCAAGGAGACAAGCGACCTAGAACTAAGGTAGAATTTCCTGATAGTGAGAACAATGAACCAGTGGAATTGCTCGCCACCAGAGATGGTGGGTCCTTCATCAGCGGAGGTTTTTAAGAAGACACTAGACAGCTATTTGTCTGAAATGGTATAGAGTCTCCTGCTTCAGCAGAGGGCTGGACTAGAAGACCTCTAAGGTCCCTTCCAGTTCATATTCTGTTGAGAAGTTGTCAGTGGTCTCCAGAACAGTGGTTGCCAACCAATGGGCCGGGGACCACTAGTGGTCCATGAAAAAATTTTGGTGATCCGCAGAGAAATGCCCCCCCTCCCCCCGAAAGCAATTAATCCAGGCTGTGCGGGAACACAAAGCTTGCTTCGCTTGCATTGCGCACTACATGAGGTAGTGAGGGGAGGGGGAAAAAAGTGGAGGGGGGAACTTGCCCCACTCGCCCCACACACCTGGCCTGGCCACCGGGCTGCTTCTTTCCGCTTCTTTCTTCTTCTGCTTTTGGCTGCACGCAAGGAAAGCAGCCAAAGTCTTTCTTTCTCTTCCGCAAACTCCGCCAGAAATGAGCCTTTGGGACCCTGCAAGGCCTCCTGCTCCAAGAGGCTGCGCCGGCAAAGACTCATTTCTGGCGGAGTTTGCGGGGGAGAGAAAGAAAGACTTCTGCAGCTTCTGCTGTTTTCCTTGCATGAAGCCAAAAGTCTCTCTCTCTCTCTCCCCCTGAGAAAGGAACTGGAGATGGTACAAAGAATAATCGATCAGTAGGAAAACGGGGTGGGGAATTTTCCTGCAGACTTTTTGGGGGGATTTTCCCAGGTCTCTGGGTTTTAAAATGATGAGTTTGGGGGTCCCTGAGGTCCAAAAGGTTGGCGACCCCTGCTCCAGAAAACCACCTGGACTGAAATCTCATAGGTGAGGAATGTGGTCACGCTGGGCATAAAATGGACCCCCGCCCCCGCCCCCCGGTTCCCAATCCTCACCTGTCCCGAACCACCATAACGATCTTCTCCGGCGAGGCCTTCTTCAGCACCCGCTTTGCCTTCTCCATGTTCCACCCGGCGCAGTTCTTCCCATCGATCTGGAGGATCTGATCGCCGAAACGCAGGCCCGCCAGAGCTGCCGGAGAATTGGCTTTGACCAACTGCACAAAGAGCCCCTGCGCGATAAGACGGGACCGGTATGTGTGGCATCTTGCTGATACGGAGCTGCTGTTACAACCTTGTGAGAACCTCTTCTGACCTGCCTCCCCAAACACGACAAACCCTCTGAATTGAACTCAAAAGATTCTTTTATTAGGAACACCAACAGCCCCAGCCAAAATTATCTCTCTCACCACAGGCTAACAAGTCCATCCGTCCGGGAGATGAGTAGTTGTCTGCCACATCTGTTCCTCTCCGCCCCCTGTTTTTTATCCCCAGAGCTTGGGTGGGGCTTCCGTCCCAAGGACCGGCCCATAGATTTCCACTGCTCTCCTCTCCTCTGCCTTCTCCAACCCTCCCTTAAGCAGGAGAGCCTATACCATTTTAGTCAAATCATTGTCCAATCTCTTCTTAAAAACATCCCATGTTGGAACATTTAAAACTTCCGGTGGTAAGCAGTTCCACTGATTAATTGTTCTTAACTTCCTGCACCTGTGTCTGGTTTGCCAATTGCACAGGGGCAGATAGGAAAGCACTCCAGAGGGTTAATGTCATTGGCCAGAGGATCATGGGATGCCCTCTCCCCTCTTTGGAAGAGCTTTATAGCTCCCGCTGCCTCAAGAAAGTTCCAAACATTCTCCAAGATCCATCTCATCCTGGGCACCCCCTTTTTTCGAACTATTACCATCTGGCAGACGGTACAGGATAATAATAAAAACAAGGACAAATAGGCTGAAAAACAGCTTCTATCCCAGGGCAGTAACTCTATTGAATTTTACTGTATAGTACACTGAAGATGTTATTTAATTTTGTTATTCGATGCGCAATGACAATAAATTAAACTAAACTAAACTAAACTGTGCATCTGTTTATCAGGCACTGGACCCGGCTGTTCCTCCTCTTCTCCATCAGCCACCTCCAGACCTGGCTCTTCAGTCCCAAGGACCGGCCCATAGATTTCCACTGCTCTCCTCTCCTCTGCCTTCTGTGCATCTATGCATCAGGCACTGGACCCGGCTGTTCCTCTTCCTCATCAGCTGCCTCCAGACCTGGGGACTGTTGACTGTCCATCTGAGGGCTGATGGTCAGCCCAGGCTCCTCTCTCTCTCTCTCCCCCCCTCCCTCCCTCTCTCTCTCTCCCTCCCTCCCTCTCTCCCTCCTTCCCTCCCTCTCTCTCTCTCTCTGCCAGCTCCATTTCCTCTTCCTCCTCAGAGCTCCCAGGTTGCTGTCCCTGACTCCTCCTCCTCCTCCTCCTCCTCCTCCTCCTCCTCCTCCTCCTCCTCTGATTCGGCTGCCAACAGGCTACAACAGAACCAGAACTTGGGGTTTAAGGTTCTATTCTAAAAACCGGGAAACGGTGACTTCAAATTCAACTTGCGTCTTGGGCCCAAAGACAGATGGGTGACCTTGGGCCAGTTTATCCCCCCTCCCCCCCCAAGGAAGAAAGTGACCATGGCTCACAGGTTCTGAAAAGTTTGCCAAGAAAGCAGCAGGCCCCTGTCCATGCAGTTGCCAGGGGTCAAGTCTGGCTTGAAAGCCCGCCAATAAAAATCAATCACTTGCAGGCACCCTACCAGCTTCTAATTAGCCACCGTCTGGTCTTCAAAGGCCATTGGATAAATTAACGGAAGACCGCTCTATCCAGGGCCTTGAAGGTTGGGGCAGAGCGTCCTCCAACATCACTTGTGGGCAAAGTTTCTCTCTTTCTGTCCTGGTTTGGGGTTCTCCAAGGTGGGTGTCTGAGCTGGACCCCAGAGAAAGAAAATACTGGGCTGGTGTTCCTCAACATTGGACATGTGAAGATGGGTGGACTTCAACTCCCAGAATTCCCTAGCCAGCACGGCCTTCACCAGTGGGGATATGCTGGACCACCGTTCCTCAACCTTAAGATGAGTGGACTTCATTCAGTCAGCATGGGTGGACTTCAACTCCCAGAATTCTCCAGTCAGCATGGGTGGACTCCAGCTCCCAGAAGTCTTCAGTCAACATGGGTGGACTCCAACTCCCAGAATTCTCCAGTCAGCATGGGTGGACT